ATCATAAAGAGCTGAAGTTTGATAGAGCTTATAATCTCTGGAACTTATTATTCGATTTCGAACATTCTGCGTACATTAATAGAAACCTATAGTCTGTCTCTGAATAATACAGGACACTCGATAAGGTAGTTTTAGGTTGTAGCGAAGGCAAGTCGCTAGTATTACCAATGTACCTACCTAGTCTAATCTCTTTTATTTATTTATTTATGTACCATAAAATACATATTATACATAATTAAGTAACAGAATATCGACAAAGGATAACTTATCTGCTTCTACTTTCTCTGAACAAATATTTTTCTGTTTAGTTCTAACAGTTTAGTACATTACCACTACTTAGATGTTGGTTTTCAAGATTGACGTTGAGATTTTCAAATATGATTAAGACACTTTTGTGTAAGATATATTTATAGCTTAAGTTAATGCACATTTAGTATGTTAAAGATTTATTTAGATAGAGGCAGATGAAGGCCAACCAAACAGGTCAACCATAAATAACTGTAATGCTTTTGATGATGAACTGTAATTTTACTATAACATTTTCTTCTCATAAAACTTACCGTTTTGATTATATCTAGTTAGTTATTAAAAAAAATCTATATTAAAATGTACCCCCTAAATTCCAAAAATGCTGCATTAATTTTAGTTGAACTTTTCTTGGTGGATATCTTTTATCCGGGAAATCAAGGTCCCGCGGTATGAATAGAATATATAATAGAAGATATGAAAGAATATATTTTACTTAGCAGGACTAAAATAAATTACAACGTTGACAGCGCAAATAGAGGATTAAATAAGGTATTTGTTGCAATGCTTCTAACGAGAATGTCCAGACAGAAGTTATATATACATATATATTTATTTATGTAAGTGATAGCTGTGTTATGACAGAAGATAAATAGGATCGATTGTACTGGTTTTCTACTACATTTATGTTTAATAAATAAGAATATTTAGTATATTAACTTGTGATAGTAAGATAAGTTTCAATAGCTTAAAGCTTTTTAATGCCGTCATATACTATAGTAATATTTTTGGTCCTAACATTTGTCTTTATATTTAACCTACCGGCATCACATCAATTAGGGAAATTATAAAAGAAGGCGTACTATAATCCCGAAAACATAAATAGCTATACATACGTGCTTAAATGAACAAGATGCCAATAATAAACTATATATAATTTGATTACACTTCCATCGTAATATAAATTAATAGACCTATAATCTTGATAATGCAATGACCTTTAATGATATTACCGTATAATGATAACTACGGTAGATTTTTGAGCGCATTGGACATAATGATAGACTCTTGCGACTTTAACTTCGAATTGCGTTACGTAAGAACGAGTAAGAGCTAAACGAGATAGTGTAATATTATTATAGATCTGTAATCATTTGAAGAGAAGAGAAAAAGCTCGTAAAGCTGTGTAAAGCTCTGATTTATTAAAAAATTTGGCAACTTTTAATTAATATGATCAAGTAGGTACATAAAAGTTGTGTAATTTATGAGATGGGTTACTAATTATAAAAAAAACAAACAAATGCATTTTAAAAATTGCAATTTAAAACTTCATATTGGACTGCTACTATAGTTTTGTAAGTTTGTATGTATGTGTACCTACATAAGTTTGTTACTCCTTCACGCTGAAACGACTGGACGAATTTGGATGAAATTTAATAAACAAATAGACTTTTATCTGGAGTACACATAGGCTATTGTTTGACACTTCGAGAACGCACCCGAGCGAAGTAAGGGTAAGTTGCTAGTCGTAAAGTTGAAACTACACATGAGCTATAAATTAAAATTATAAATTCCTAATAATTACCTATCTACAAATATGCAAAGAAAAAACATTTCAGTACCTTATTCTCCTCTGTTTGTTAACCGATTTTAAATATTATTTTTTTGCTTAATAACTATTGACGAACTTTAGCGTTATCATTAAAAAAAATTGGAAGCAGCAGCGGGTTCTACTAACTTATATACATACTAGCAGAACCCGCGGCTTCTAAAACTACAAAATAATCTCTAAAAAGATAGTTTCACAAAAAAATTCATCCCCTATTTTACTCCCTTATAGGATGAATTTTGAAAAATGCTTAAGCATGTATTTATTTAATTTTATTCAAGAGCATTAATACCAGGTTTCAAGAAATTCTGATCATAAATATTTTTTTGAATTGTATTATAACGGGTTTTTCTGTGATAATTACATAAACTCCCGCGGTTAAAAATAGCCTTTGTCACTCTCCAGCCCTCCAATTATCTCCACACAAAAAATCACGCCAATCCGTCACTCCGTTTCGACGTGAAAGAAGGACAAACAAACACACTTTCACATTTATAATATTAGTATGGACATAGGTAAATTCAATTTTATTAGTTTTCCTTAAATCAAATTTCAACCAATAGGCGAACACTATTTTATTTAAATCTAGCAAATGCAATCTATCTCTACACATACTCGATTAAACGCGGAAGTTACCACCGGCGGTCTGTACTTGCTCGCTAACTTGTTAATTGTGTCTCAGTCCGTTCATGCCTCACCGACCATTCAACACGAAATAAATCGATAACATAAACTCCATACAAAAATACCACTGTGAAAATGGACCGTTGAACTGATTTCTGCCGCGATAAGAATAGCGTGCTCATAAAATCCGTCAATTAAGCGATTCTTGCGTATACAACATGGAAGTGTTAGTCCATCTTAAAGGCCACATTATAAGAAACTAGTGACATGTCCTGGCTTTGCATGGGTTATCTCTTTAGCAGATTCATATCTAATGTAAGCCATTTAATTCACCGGTATAAAAAGGAGTCTACAATGCTCATATGCCTACGAACTATCTCTAAGCAATAAAATTCCGCAATACGTTGTTATATGAATGGATGTTTAACAAATAAATATGCTTTATGTAAACATTTCAGTAAGAACATACATGTTTAAAACTAGTTTACGGCAGCAGATTTGTCCGTGTTAATTTTCCCAAATTACTTAATATTCAATCTGGCCAAAAATTATTTTCATTTTTGGCTCTATTCAACATACTCTTATGATTAAAGACATGCCAAATATTCTTTGATCCATTGATGTACAAATTTAAAATATAATAATTTGCTAAAATCTTCGGAAAAAGCAAACTGAAAAGATAGAAATTAGTTGACAAAAAAAATAGTACTATGCAGACCAAAACATATACGAGTATGTCGTATGTATAAATCATCAAAATCGGTTGAGCTGTTTAATATATACGAGGGAACATAAGGTCAGACATACATACAAGTCAAACACATAATCTAAATATATTTTTTCATATTTCAAAGCACAATGTTGATACTGTTATAATTTTATGTGTACATACATACGTATATATGTGTATAGATATATATTTATTTAATTGCCATTCGTACAGGTGATCTCGTTACGATCGCATAAACGGTGCGTATCGCAAGCAGTGTAGATAGCAGTGATGAGATATATGATAAATAAGATATAAATGTCATCGCTTCTCTTAATAGATTTATTTATATAGAAATCTTAGGTAGTAACTTGATTCAATTTTGCTATGATCTAAACTAGGGATCATGTCTCAAGTTTATTGTACTTTACAAAAGAAAAAAATAGAACGCATAGGGTTATTAGTGTACCTGTGTGTCTGTCACGTACTAATTTGTCCAGATCTAATGACTGGAAAAAAGCTGTAATTGGATGGTGTCGTAATTACGAATAACGTAAATTTTATACATAAACTAGCTGGCCCGGCAAACGTTGTTTTGCTGTATGAAGTATTTTTAATGCCACACCATAAAAATATAACCAAAAAAAATTGTCCAAAAAGTGAAAAAATTTTTTTGGGGTGAGCCACCTTTAACACTTAGGGGTGTAAAAACTAGTTATAAACCTATTCTCAGACATACTGAATATACATATACAATTTCATCAAAATCGGTCAAGCCGTTTCGGAGGAGTATTAAAACATAAACTGTGACACGAGATTTTTATATATTAGATACTAGGCAAAGACGAAACAGTTCAGTGCCTTTTCCTCTTGTGTTTGTCAGCCGATTTTTTTTTATTATTTCTTAAGTAGCTATTGAAGAGCTTTAGCGTTATCAGTCCAAACATTTTTTGGAAATTAGTTAATTGTAATTACGCGGATTACTCGTCAAAATGTCAATACAAATGTAACAAAGTAGTATTTCTTTAACTAAGCACACACTAAACTTTTTCTAAAGAAAAAACCTAACGTTTACTCATGGAAGCATTTTGTTAAGTGTCAGCTACTTTAAATAAGTCTACGAGTATTATAAATCACCTCTCAAGTAATATTAATGTAAAACTCTTCTTCTTTGTAACATAATGCTCTCGGCAAATCGATTAGCACTCTTATCTACCGTCTAGCAATTTATCCTGATCTCGTTAAACGTTGAAATGTAGAATTGCGCCACAAGACATCTTGCGTTAAAAATATGATGCCTATTAACAAATGACTGTATGCATTATTTTCTTTTTATTAATTTGTATGCATATAGCGTAAATTCATATAAAATTACAACTACTTTTATATTCATTTGGCACCTTGATACCGTTTTATGATAAAAAGTCACCGTGTTCTAAGCATGAACCAAGTTTTTTTCTTTATATTGAGACTTTATATTAATACTAGCGACTCACCCACACTTCACTCGGGTTCGTCCCTAGGTTGATTCCCCATACAAACTTTCATCCTCATTTTCACCCCCCTTAAGGGATGATATACGGCATACAAAGTATTCTATATCCTTTTTAGGGTCTCAAACTATCTTCTTACCAAATTTCATCCAAATCGGTCCAGTAGATCCAGAGATAAAAAAAAACAATAAAGGAGGATTACTTTTAAATTTGTAGCTTACAATTCCATTAATTGGAAACCAATGTGATTACTTAGTCTATATATTCTTAGTGAAAATCATGGTTAATATTAATTTTCTCTTAATTTCCTTCATTTCAGAAATTAAGATGGCCCGCTCGTTCCTGTTAGCCCTGCTCGTGCTACTTGCCATAGTATGCCAAATCAAAAGTGCGCCAAGTAGGAGAATTCGCACCACATCGGTTGATGGGGAAACTGAAACTACATCAGAGCAACAAGGCAAAGTTGAAGAAGTCCCTAAAGAAAAAACGAAGGAAGCATCAAAGCCTTCGAGTAGGCGAAACAAAGCATTAAATTTATTTTCCGGTTACTATCCATCATTTCTGTCATCCAGCTTAGATTACTCTGAGGACGACGATGATGACATTACTTTTGCACTGAATGACGATCACTTTGATGAAGATGACATTTCCAGAACATTACCTTCAAAACGGCGCCAGCAGAACAAGAAAAAGAATGGAAGTGGAGACACTTTCCCCAATGATAATCTTAATTCTCTGCAATACGATAATTCACCAATTTTCTACATTAGGTTGCCCCCAACACCGTACATGTTTGTACCAGGCTTAGGCTATGTTTCACAACCCCCAACTCTTGGACCAGCGATGCCCCCAATGTTACCTCAAGGCCCAGCTGATCCTTTCATTAACCTGCCAATTGACTTTGTTTCCAATGGAAAGCCAACTGGTGTATATCAATGGAGTGGAGCCCCTAGTTATTCCCCAGGACCACAAATGCCTATGGACCCATACGGATACGGTGCTCAGCCTGCTATGCAACCAGTTCACCACCATTCAAATTATAATACACAATCTTACAAACCTAAACCCAAACCAGCACCAACAAACTCCAAGGTTACAAACCTTAAAGGTCCATTTGTTTTCAATGGCAAGCCTGGTGATAATGTATACGTCTTGCGAGACACTTATAATTCGATATATTCAGATGCTCTCCAAAATTTCTATCCTTAACTTTTCTTCTCGTATTAATAGGGCATTTTAATGACTCGTATCGAGTCGAATGAAAAGAAATTTGTTTAATCCACCCAATCCCCTTAGTTTTACAGGAATACACATACTCTATGATTAAGGAATTGTAAAATGCATGCTCATTATAAGTAGATACAATGTTCTACGTTTAAACCTGATACTACAAGATTTTTTAATCTGGGATTTAAATGTACAAAATGTCAATTATGGTGCTTATTAGGTTGTTTTTATAATTATATACAAATTAAAGGTGTTTCTGTATTGTCAAATGTAAAATTTTAATAGGTAATATTATGTTAAAAACCAGTGATTTGTGACACATATTTGTAAGATTGATAAGTCGATAGCATGAATACAATCGCAGCCAACGTTTTAGAGATGAGATATATTTTTTTCTTTTTATATTAATAAGTATATCTATAAATTAATTGCTTATTTTAAGCTTATATATAGTGAGGCATGAACAAGAATCAGAACAAATTTTACACAAGCAGATAATTTAATAATTTGGAGTATGAAGTACCTAATTTCAATTTGTTTTGTAACTTAAATAGCTAAAGTTAATCTACAACGGTAATATATTGTAATAACAATTAAATTGGATTTACACACAGAAAATATATAATGTTGAGAAAGCTTTCATTTCTAACTTTTTTAGAACCTGGAGAGCATTAAAAGTCCATTTTTGACAAGTGTGTGGGTCCAATCTTAGAATAATTTATTTTATACCTTGTCATAGGTTTTCGAGATTAAAACATTTATTAATACCGATAAGTATATTTAATTTTAATATCTTAATTTATTCATTAGATCTATGTTAAGATAATAATAAGATTCTTTTACATCAATAAAGACTTTGTAGACCATAATATATTGCCTACATTTAGTCATGCTAGTGTCGCTTTTTATATAAATTAATAAAACTTTAATATTAAGGGGTATTTATTTATAGGTTTATCGATTTTATTAGTAAATAAAAAAAATGATCATGACTTTTGATTATTAACAATCCGTCCAATAGGTATAAAAAGATAAACCTAAAATTTTATCAATAGGTAATAAGTATAGTGTAATTCAAAAGTTAAAATAAAAATTTCACAATAAAATGAAACAGATAACATCTTGTATTTTATTATTATGTCACAAATTGTTATTTTAGACTACTAAGTATTATGAAATTATTATTATAATACGTAATAGAAAACTGTTCCGTCCGGTGGAAATAAACATCGTGTATTCGAGACTAATGTTCACATTAGTTAGCTCTATAATAATATATTATTGTAAATATTAAAATTATATCAATTTTTGATTCTTACATTCTGTTCTAGAGTATATTTAAATGAAAGTTTATGTGTGATTATTAAAATAAAATTCATTTTCTAAAGGAATATATAATTATTTTTTTAATAATATATGCTTTGTATGGTTATAAATAATGTAGTCTATATTTATGATATCTATAAACAGCTAATTATACATTTAATTTTTCACAAAAAATAGTTGAATAAATATTATAGAATATATTTTGTTTTATTTAATATGTATATTATAAAAAGACCTTTCCTTAAGCCTAGGGACTACCCACCAGTGTTAGACTTAATTCACAATTAGTACGTAGAACGGGCAGCTAAAGCTATATTATTAACTTTACATAATATATTAATTGAAATGAAGATATATTTTTAAATCAGAACTCTACTATAATCTGTCTGTATGTCTGTCATCAAAAAGCCGTTCTTGAGTGTGATCCGACTTAACAATATAATTTTTTTTTAACTAAGTTTTTAAAAAGTAAGTACGAGTATACATGCATTGGAATATCACACACGGTAGATGCTGTACTGTTATTAGATACTTTGTAATTGATATATTATACTGTTTAATTTTTATACCTATCTATATACTTGCAGACAGATATCAAACACGGTTTCAACATATCTTCTTAAATTAAATAAATGAAACTATATTATCACATTCTTAATTTATTTTGTGCTAGCCAGTACATTTTTAAAGCATCGCAAAGAAACTGTAAATGACCAAGAACTCTGTTCAATGGAATCTTAATTCGTAATAGTCCTTTAATATAAGTTTTCAAATTCTTGTATAGTTCATGCATTAACGACATATCTATAATACATGTATTTAAACACATTACATACATTAATAATAAAACTGTAGAGGTTGAATGTCTGTGCATAGATTTTTTTGCTAAAAACCGAGTCAGGGAGATGTAAGAAGATAAATAGAACAAATCCAGATTTTTTCATTTTTTTGTTTCTCTGTCTGTTTGTCTGCTTATGCGGGCTAATCTCCGAAACTGATGGACCGATTTAAATGAAATTTTGCATGGTGTTACCTTATATCCCTAGTCAACATTTTAAATAGTTTTTATCCTGGAAAATTAAGAGTTTCCGCGGGATAGTTAAAAAACTATAGTAACTTATACAGCTTAGTACACAAAAACTACTGATTGGATTTTAATGAAACTTTACAATAAATAATATTGTTCATACATCAGAATTAAAAATAGGCTATTTTTTTTATCCCGGAAAAATGTACGGTTTCCGTGACACGGATTTGTTTTTGTTTGTCGAGGGTGAGCCGCTAGTACAATATAGAAATATCTTTCAATTAGCATTATAATAAGTACCTACTATTAACTGACAAACACAAAAACAACAAAGGGACTAAAGGGGATGAGTAGCATGGTTAGGTACATAATAGCCTAAACGTTTCTTTTTCAAATTACTTAGGTACTTTCGATAGACAGAGTGACTGCCCTAGTTAAAAATTGCGATTAACCTGTATCTCGAATCTATTATCTTCGTCAGGAGTAAATTAGAATCCAATAGGAGTTATGTCAAATTTCTCAAAATATGACAATAATTTGGGAATCTAAAGCTAGTTTTTTTAGATGTTTAGTACATCTAAAAAAACTTATCGGACATTCTTAAACAACTTGAAATTCTTATGTGTTACCTACGTAAGAAGGATTAATTCCAATTGAAAGTAAGATTGAACCAATTTACCCCGCTGTACCGTGTACAGTATGTCAGAAAACAAAATATTGATTTAATCTTTCATGCTACAGAACCCACAATGTACAAGTCACACTCGTACTTGGTGTTGTTTTTTATTTACTTTGATTTTCTACTTTTTGTTAAAAAAGGTAGAAAGTGCTTTTCACGCGATAGAAATCATTAATAGAAATTAGTGTTTTGAAATCCTTAAATTAAATAGTAATAATATATTAAAAATAGTAATAAAATATTTGAAAATAAGATTTTCACTATATTCAAACCCAATATATCCCACTATTTTAATTATTTCTTATGTTTCTTAATTTTTTAGTTTTTTGAAGTTTGGACTTAATTATTTCTAGAATTGGAAAATCGATATTTTAGTCTATGGTGTGAGAAAATTAAACAGAACGCAACTTTTGAAAGCAACAGCAAATTGTCAAACGTTTTATGTCAAATATCTGTCAAAATTACATGGAACGTAGGAACAGGAAGTGCAAAAATAACAAGAATCAAGAAATAAAATAAAAATAAACGTGAACACGGTCGCTTTTGTTTATCGTGGCCTGTGGATATTTGTGATTTGCGTTTATTCTACGTATTATGTGAATATAAGTGCTAAATTGTGGCGTTTACTATGAACAATTTGTGGAAAATGAATAGTATCTTACCTCATAACAGAGAAAAATCTTAGTGGCGTGATGTTTCGTAGTCGTAGCTGGTTTGGGGGTGGTTGGGGTCGTCCCAAAAACCCCCATTCTCTTGAAAGATTGAAATATTTACACAATATTCTTTGCAAAAATACTACAGTATCAGAGAGTAATCGAGGGATTTTAGTAGAATCTTTACGATGTATAGCAGAAATTTTAATATGGGGAGACCAGAACGACAGTTCAGTGTTTGAGTAAGTATTTTATGTATAGTAAGAATTGATTAGGTAACACTTACCATTGAATATAGGTCTCATAAATATGTAGATTTACTCTTAATAAGACTACAAGGTTAATACTTGATAAAGTAACTTTTATATAAATGGACATATCATATAGCATGATCAACTCTTTCATTGCAATAATTATGTTTACATAATGTTATGATATCAAAAATATTAATATTAACCACAAAACAAATTAAGTAACAGATTTTATATTGTATTATAGAATTTTTTTTTATAAAGCAACCTTGATTCAGAAAATAACTCTAAATATTCTATTTGAAACTTTAGAAAGTGTTCTTTTAAAGTTCCTGTTTCTGTTTTAGCTTTTTTTTAGAGAAAAACATGTTGTCATATTTTCTAAAGATAATGCGACAAAAGTGTGGAGGCTCATCTTATGTATGTGTACAGTTGTTACAAACACTTAACATTTTATTTGAAAACATAAGAAATGAAACATCATTATGTAAGTATATTAGAACTCTTTATTATAAAATTAATAAAAAAAACCTGATTTTGTGTATTTAAATGTGTATGTGAAAATTGTATTTACTCCTTGACACATTAGGCTGTTTTATTATATAGTTTATAGATGTTTGAAATAGTAACATAATATATACAATTACAAAAACATATGCCGTCCCCGGAGAATAAAATGATTACTGATATTACCATAGTTTTAGTGTAATCCCATATTTGAAGTCTACGGTGCCTAATACTACTACCCAATTTTTTTTTGTGACTATACAGCCATTGTTCAAAAAGTTATACAATATAGAATATATATATATATATAAATATAATATATATAAATATAATATATATAAATATAATATATATAAATATAATATATATAAATATAATATATATAAATATAATATATATAAATATAATATATATAAATATAATATATATAAATATAATATATATATGTATATATATATATATATATATATATATATATATGTATATATATATATATCTCCGGGGGCGGCGATATATTAATGAAACTTAAATTTCCTGTGTATGAAGAGATGTTTATTCAAAGGTGTAATTTAATATATGAAACTAATTCCGATCTTAAGTCTAGAAAGCTAGTCTAGTTTTATATATCTATCTTACTCTTTAATTTTATAACTCTTTAAAAAATTGCATATTTTTTGTATTTCAGATTACTTGCTAAGCAACAACCATGTCAACTCCATTATAGTTCATAAGTTTGATATCTCGGATGAAGAAGTAATGGCTTATTATATATCATTCCTAAAGACATTGAGTCTTAAACTCAATAATCATACCATACACTTCTTCTATAATGAGGTAATTAAAAAAAGTTTAATTATTGCAAATAGTAAACAAAAAAATTAAAAATAGTACCATTAATTGCATCCATCAAAAAAGTACTAGATACATAATCAGCGACAAAAAATGTCCTCACCGAATGAGCGCTCATTTGAACATTTGAGTGTGCTTTTTTTTGTGAAAACAACTTTAAGCATTGCATTTAAGGTTCAATTTATATTGTCGTATATTTATTTCAACTAGAAAAATTACATAAACACAATTGGTGACAGTTTTAAGAGAACTTTTGCATGGATTTGTACATAGTACTTTTTTGATCGATGATTAATAGAGAAAATGATGAGGTTAGTACGTTATGAAGAAGCATATAAGCAAGAAAGAATTAGGTTGAGATAGATATAGAAATAAAGGGTAAACCAAGTGTGAATGGGCTGAGTGAAAAGTGTGTCTGCTGAGATGACAGCCAATAGAGGGAAATGAAATTAAGAAACATGTAGAAACAAGAAAAATAAGTATAAATATAATAATAAATTTTACTACTTAGTATTAAGTATAGTTTATTTTTAAATAACATTACAGGATTTTAATGAGGTAAAACTTATTAGTTTGTATGTAGGGGATTATTTCTGAAGCTATTGCTTACCTTAAAAATTGTTTTAACTGATAGAAAGTTTTCAATATGAATATATTTAAATTTAGAATTATACTAAGTATTGTTATAAATTTAAATACAAATAACTTGGAATAAATAACAAAGTTGATATTTTTGTTTAGTTTTAAATATCAATTTTATTTTTGTACTTGTATAATTTTTTACGAAATCTTTGTTTTGTTTTTAGCATACAAAAGATTTTCCACTGTACACAGAGGCAATCAAATTTTTCAATCACTCCGAATCTATGGTGAGGATTGCCGTAAGGACTTTAACGCTTAATGTATATAGAGTACAAGATGCAAGTATGCTAAGATTTATAAGAGATAGGTAAGAAATAATTGAAAGTAGGTATGTCCAATTATAGGTTTAAAGGTGCATTTACATCTATTCAACAACTGGCGATTTTGAGGAAAGCAACGTCTTGAGAGCTACACTGTTGCCGTTTGTTGAAGTTTGTTGCTATCCCACGGGAGCCAGACATTTTCCGGGATAAAAATTGCTAGTGCTATTCTAGACTGTAATCTATCTCTGTGCCAAATTTCATTCAGATCCGTTCAGCCATTCTGGTTTGACTGAGTAACAAACATACATCCATCCAAACTTTCGCATTTATAATATTTATGTTTATATACAGACTTACCCTCGCTCAGCACGGGTTCGTCCCTACTTACGTTTTAAAGTTTAGTGTAGATTTATCAGAGATGAGATATTTTCCCGCAGTAAAATGTATCTTATATTCTGACCCGGATAACCAGCTATCATACCAAAATCCATCAAAATCTGTACAGTGGTTTTCTCGTGATGCCGTCACAAGCAGACAGACAAAAATTCTATAAACTATAGGTTCGGCCTCTGTATCGATAATAATGACTATTTCAATAAGATTTTCCAAATATCATTTAATGTACAGATTCAACTCAGTTAGAATTTTATTATATGTATAGATATTGTTGGGAATATAATCATAATAAAAATTAATATTGCCATATAAATAATATCAATATATTACAATTAATACTTCGAGAAAGTTATTATGATTAGTTTAATTATTTTAAATTTTATTACTGTACTATGATTACTTGCTAGGACGTCATTATTTTTTTAGGACTGCGGCACCATACTTCAGTAATTTAGTATGGTTTATTGGAAAACATATTCTGGAACTAGATGCATGCGTGAGAAATGACGCTGAGTAAGTTCATTATTTAAATTTTTTTTAGACTTTTCCTACTATATACAAAGGTTATCTTTTTTTGAAGTTATACTGTTTTTGGCATGTCTGGAAAAAATATGAGAGTAAAATATTTACGACACGCGCGCACACCGACAGCCAAAAAGCGACATGTTTAAGTTAGCTGCATTCCTTTTATAAACAGACAGTTGTGACATACGGGATGAAATCTTTAGCTATTTTTGTTCTGTTATGCCAAAGAAGTATAACTTCTCACGTGCGTACATAAGTACACACACACGTTTTATTTTTAATTCTTTTAAAAAACAAGTTGCATAAAAATATAGTATCTATATTTTTATTAGGTCAGATAGCAAATTGATATTTACCCCAACACTATTATTTTATTGACTATTTGATTTAATTAATCTATCCAATTATACATCTAGTATTATAATCAATATTAATTATCTAAAAAAATATGGTATATGAGAGTCATTAATAGTTAATGTGACATTCCCTAAAATAAGTTAAAACAAATATTATATAATACAATTTTTCATTTCCTAATCGATTTTCAATACATAATCGATTTTCGCTTCATCCAAATTTAATGAGTACTTTATATATACATATTTGAATATATTAATAAAAATATTAATTTTGATATATTTTCAGTCACCAATCTCAGCAGAAACTGGACGATTTAGTTGCAGAACATCTAGACCACTTACATTATATAAATGACATACTATGTTTAAACATTCCCGATCTAAACGATGTATTGACAGAACACCTTTTACATAAATTACTCATACCCCTATACATTTATTCACTCACATCCGAATCTGCAAAACGTCACACAGCATCCCCCTACAGTAGAGACCATTTGCAAAGCATAGAAGTGATCACTCGTAATCTTGAAGCGATATTGACTGGTAAAAGTACTGACACTCCCCCAAGACTTAACTATCCCATGCAAAGGTTAGAGTCTGAAGATGAAACCAAACCTTCAGTATCATGTGTAGTTTCGCTGTTTTTGCTATCTCAAGTGTTCTTAATAATAACACACGGTCCCATAGTTCATGCGTTAGCTTGGATTATATTACAATCAGATTTAACAGTGTTCGAAGATGGGGCAACGAAGATCTTAGACGTGTACGTCAGCCATGCGAAATCTAGTGTGAAACTAGAATTTTCTAAGCCCCAATTGAGTTTAGAAAAGGCCTTAGAGAATACCTCCTGCCCCGAAAGAGATTACACCACACCAGAATATTCTGGGGTCAAATCATTCGGATATGATACCGATCAATCGAGTTGCGATCTCGATCCCGAGTTGGTATCGACATCGTTACCATCGACTTCTCATATAAGCGAATCGTCTAGTATAGCTAACGATTCTACAGAGGATTTAGTTACAAAGATACAAACAATTAAGACTAGAAGCTCGATTACTTTGAAAGCGAATATGCCCGATTCGCCTCTACCCGATTCCGGAATCGATTCCAGCTCATCAAAAGTTTCCGATTTTAATAATATTACCGATGAAGAGAAACAGAAGTTATTAGGCGTTATGCCAACTACTTCGACGGAACGTGTGAAAACGAATGAGAATTTGTTGGAGAGGGAAGCAAGAAATGTAGATAAAAGGCCGTTTTTAAAAACGATTCTCGATTCTTTAGACTGTAGTGAGAATGATTATAAAGCGCTTTTCGCGCTGTGCTTACTTTACGCTTTAATTAATAATAAAGGTAAGTTTCTAAAGAAAATAATTAAAAATTCATTGTGTATATTTGACATTATTATTAAGCCTATTGATATACAAAAATTCAAGATACACAATTAGTGTCTCAAAGGGGTTGGTGTAATAGTATGAAGTATCATTCATGTAAAGGATACATTTTTTTTTAAATTATTTATCTATTTTCTTATACCGAAGTATATATAGTATTCCATACTAACCGTTAAAAAGTACCAATATATAATATTATAGCTTTCTGTCACCTAAGATACAGGCTCTGGCTTAGTTTAGGAGACAGCAGTTCAATTATTTCTTGACTCTTGTACAACTTGCATAAACTACAATATAATAGTTGTTTTATATAGTACAATAAATAATTAAATTATAACGTAAGCAAAGCCGCGGGCGAAAGCTAGTATATGATACTTTTCTTAATCAATATTTAAACAAGGTTCATTGATATCTTATTGTAAATATTATTATACTAAGATATTTTGTTTAAAACACGGATATATATATCATAATGAGTTCCTCATATTAATTTTTTTTTTTTTTTTATTGCTGACCTGGTTATCAGTGGGTAAGATATTCGCAGCTGTTAGCTTCAATTAACAATACAGTATCAATAAGTACCTATATTTTAATGCGCATTTTAATATTTTAGGAGTAAATCCAGAGTTATTGGACACATTATTATACTCAGAAATAGATGATGCTAGTAAAAGTAGCGTAAATAAAGAAGCGCCATCTAGTGATGACGTTAAGGATGTTAGTGATGAAAAAAAGAAATATGACAGATTTAATACACTGTTAATATCGAAGTTAATGGCTATAGCCAACCTTAGTTGTAAACCTGGTAAGATTTCATATAACTGTATATATATTTTATTTAATGCAGTGGTATGTAGCCCAATGGTAAAGCGCTTGCTTATGAAAGTGTGAAACGGGTTCAAATCCCGTGTATCACATCTGATATTTTCATTTCCAACATGATTGCCAGTTGTCTTACGGTGAAGGAAAACATCGTGAGGAAACGTCCATGTCTGAGAGAATTTAGCAAGTTTCGAAAGACATGTCAAGTCCACTAATCTGCACTTGGCCAGAGTGCTGGAGTATGCCCTGATCCCCCTCGTCATAAAAGGATGTTCGTGCCCCGCAGTGGGACGTTAAAAAGGGGCTAAACTAAATACACACTATTACTTAGTTATTTTTCATTCCTTTTTATTCCTTTAAGTATTGAATTTTAGATAAACCTTTGTTAGTGGTTAGCTTTGCCTCTACAATACAACCTAGTTTTTCGATACTAAGTGTTGATCAACCGTTCTGCAATTTCATAAAAAAACCTGATAGTGATAATTTAACTAATTAAATTTAACATTTTTGGAGTTATACTTCTTTTGGCACGCTTGGAAAAAAATATGAGAGTAAAATTTTTACGATGCGCCCGCACATCGACAGCCAAAAAGCGATATGACGAAGTTAGCTGAAAGCGACATGATGAAGTTAGCTGCATTCCTCTTACAAACAGACAGTTGTGACATACGGGATGAAATCTTTAGCTATTTTTGTTCTGTTACGCCAAAGAAGTATAACTTACGTGCGTACATAATTAGACACACGCGTTTTTTTAACATTTAAAACAATTTCAGCATCAAAAGTGCGTCTAGTGACGTGCGAGCTGACCGTCCGTTTGCTCCGCACGGCCATGCAAGGACCGGGACAAGTTCCCGTGCCGCGCCATATAGCCTCCGCGGACGCACTCCGCGGCCGAGCTGCGGCGTTAGCTAGAAACTTCTATAAATGTGACGATATATTCTTGGACATGTTTGAGGATGAGTGAGTTGTTTATATTGATACTAACGAATTATCGTCGCTTTGGTCGAGTGCGTCCCTAGATATGCGGGTTTTGTTCACTTTTACTATTTTATAGGTTTTAATTTTTTTGCACGGAACCCTAATTCTTTTTTTTACATAAAAATAGCCTAAGTTACTCTGTATGTCTATATCTGGCTATCTGCCATTAAAAGTCCCGTCAAAATTGCTCCAGCCGTTTCGGAGATTAGCCGGAACAAACAGACAGACTGACACAGATAAATTTTAAAAATGTTTGCTGTAAAGCATTCGAATCGTGGGGAACCAAAAAATATATATTTTGTAGTTTTTAACTACTTGTGTACCTTTCATCTTTTTGCAAACAGAACTGCTTTCTGAACCATTGGTACTTTTCACATGGACTGACTATATTAACGCTATTTAAATGAAATTGGCGATTCATAAGTTATTATATAAATCTACTTATTTAAAGTTTAATTTATCTTCATTTAATAGATATTGCGAAATGAGCAAGAAACCGTTGAACGTTGAATGGCTGTGTATGGACGCGGCGATACTCTTGCCTCCCACTCGCACTCCCATGTCCGGTATAGCCTTTGAAAAGAGACTGCCTAGCGGAGAGGTAAGCATTTATACCTTATATTTATTATTTGTACTGTTATGTGTGTTTGTATGTATTTAGATTTAATAAATTTGTAAAGGATTTGCAGTTTATCTATATTCATAAATTTGTTTTGGGATGTTGGTAACGAAATAAAAACAACAAATATTGTAAGGAAGTGTGCTGCCATTTTTGAATTTTTGAAATCATTTTTTGGAAAATAGTGGGTAGGCACTGTCTGTAACAAGTGTATATCGCCTTTGAGACGTCTATAACCTTAGTCTCTCCCGTGACCATGATTGCTGTAAACCATTCGAAACGTCGGGAACCAAAAATCAAAATAAATCCGCGAAACAATCCGAAAAGATAGTTTTATTTAAAATGTTTGATCTTAAATTAAAACTTGTAAATTAAAATTGTTTACATTTACTCGTTTTGACATCTATCGGCACTCTGAGAGTTAGCGTTAACACGTCATTTGACCATGTCGATGACGACTTACATGAATTTATATCCCATCCAAACCTGCCTATAGAAATTTTCTCTTAAAAAATTATATATATTTCTATACTAATATTATAAATGTGAAAGTTTGTGAGTATGTATGGATGTTTGTTACTCTTTCACGCCAGAAAATTTGGCACAGAGATAGATTATAGTCTGGAATAACACATAGGCTGCTTTTTATCCCGGAAAAATGTACGGTTCCCGTGGGATAGATTTGTTTTTCTAGAGGCGAGCCGCTAGTAATACATATTTGATAAATCAGAACCAAAATAACATTAAAACTATCATCCCACAGGACCATTATCCGTAGTCAGCTAACCAAAAGACCCAAGTCGTATGTACCATAAACTCTTTTGCAGATGGAAAGAGCCCGAAGAGCGATACGTACGTTCTTCTTAATAAGAGATCTATATTTAAAGTTGACTGGTAAGACTGAGACCCAGCTGCCTCTAGCCAACCCCTCGCCGTTTGTACAAGTTGGTGACGTTTTGGACCTTAGTGAGTATATTTTTGTTTATACGGATAAAGAATGGGATTAGAAATGGCGGCTCATTGAGCTTGTACTGTTTTAATTTTAAGTGATATTTTTTTATAATAGCGCTATATCAATATATTTGATTAATAGTGTTATTTAATGTAATTATGTAATATATTATTTAAATATTATAATGAGGTGCATTCGGTTGCATGTTTTTGCTTGTTACGCTATATCTTCATCGTTTATTAAACAACTTGCTATAAATTTTAAGAAAAAAAACCACATCAATTTTTAAGTCTGTGAAATTTTTAAAGTTAACATCACGGAGATAGGTAAGATGATAGATAAGAAAAAGTAATATTTTTTACTGTCTATACTGGCTGCTGCTAGTAGACATGGCGATTGTGAACGCGTGATAAATTAAGGCGATGCCCTTTATGGTACCATTTTTCATCTACTCAAGACGAACCTAGCGACACTCCAATTTCTAAACATATTGATTATTTTGTATTAAATTGTTCAACAGACGATTCCGACCTGATATCTTGCGATATCATACAAAAGGACGGCACGTGGCACCACAGGTTTCTGGCGGTCGACAACATACAGGTCATCTTGGTGGAGCCCGACAAGCAGAGGCTCGGGTGGGGCGTTGCTAAACTTGTTGGCAGCTTACAGGATTTAGAGGTACTAAATGATGTTATAAATACGAATATTTATGTGTGCGTGTGTGTATGTGCGTGTGTGTGTACGTGCGTATCTGTGTGCGTGCGTGTACGGAACATTATATGACCTTATTATTATTATTTTCTAATATAATATAACATTCGGTGTTTGTAACAAAACTCCGAAACGGCTAGACCGATTCTTATGAAATTTTGTGTGTAAATTCAGTAGGTCTGAGAATAGGACGTAAACTACTTTTCATACCCCTAAGTGATGAGGGTGGTCTACCCCAATAATTTTATTTTTTGGACAATTTTTTTTTATTTTAATTTTCTTATGATTCAGCATTAAAAATACATTCAATTCTAAATTTTCACTAGGGACGAACCCGAGCGGAGCGAGAGTGGGTCGCTAATTATAATATAAACCTGCGGTGTTCCACTGTAGGGCAAAAGCCACTCTACTCTTCTTCCACTGCTCCCTATCTTTCGCCACAATAGGCCAGTCTCTCTGGAAGGAGTCCAACTCATCCCGTCATCTCCGTCTAGGCCTACACTGTTGCCCCCCCAACGAGCGTTCACCTTGTCGTGGTGGGGGGGGGCTCAGTAGTGCCCGGCAATACAGCCGGGCGCGAAGCCAAGAAACGCACAAGGAGGTGGCCCTCTTCGGTGGGCGGTGGGAGGTGGCCCTCTTCGGAGGGCGGTCTACCATGCGGGTTGCTCCTGGTACTTCTCTGACAGCAGAGTGGACCGTGGAGCAACCCAGTGGTTGTTGTGGTCTGCTTCGGCAGACCTGCCGTCGGGGCGTCGTAGTTGAATGCGTAAGCGATCCTGCGACGCCCCATTAAGACGGGGGAAGGTTTTGTTGGGTTTTAGTGGGTAGTACTGGCTTCGCCGGTGAGTCCCACACTTCGTGCCCAAAGATAATGACCAGCCCAGTCCCATTTCAGCAAGGCAGCTTTCCGAGTGACATTAGTAATTTGAGGTCTGGAATTATCTAAACATACATACATACAGATAAATAAAGTTGAAGTATGTGTGTGTAATGTTAAAATAACAACTTTTTAATAAATACATGTGAAAGTATATACAGTACTTATAATAAAAAAAAACAATTTTAACATTTTTTGTCTGCTTGTCTGTCTGCTTATTTCGGCTAATCTCTGAAACGGCTGGACCGATTTTGACGACACTTTCACTGGCAGATAGCTTATGTTATAAGAAATAACTTAAGCTACTTTTATTTAAGGAAAAGGATTAGGGTTATGCATAAAAAAATTAAATCCCACGGAAATTGCGAACAAAATCTGCATATCTAGAGCAAGCGAAGTCGTTAGTATTACCTAATAAAGAAAAAAAATTTGTTTACATAATTTTTTGTTATTCCTTATTTTGTATCTAGTAACTTCTTACCATAGATATTTGAATTTGAAAGACCTATTAATATACAATATACGCTTTCAGACATTTATTTTCTCAAAAGAATTACAAAATTCACTTACAGAGTAAATACACAAATTATATAACAAATATCTTGTCGTCGGATAAATCATTTCACTTTTTTCACTATCGAGTTACTTAGTTATTTATTAAACAGAAACTTATATTACAAGAAACATATTTTGCTTTAATTTTACGAGTATAAACTTAAACATATTATACCAATATATTAAAAACTAGTGACTCACCCTCGCTTCGCTCGGGTTCGTCCCTAGGTTGATTCCCCATACAAACTTTCATTCCCATTTTCACCCCTTAAGGGATGATTTCCGGGAAAAAGTATCCAATGTCCTTCCCAGGGTCTCAAACTAAGTATCTTCTTAGTAAATTTCATCTTAAGTCGGTTCAGTAGATCAAGAGATTACTCTCTACAACATCACAAACTTACAATTCACAAACTTTACCTCTTTATTATATTAGTATAGATTAACAGGGTAGCGCTAATTGTTTCAATACAATAAGTAAGATAAGGCTAGTTCTACAATAGATATGAAAGAGGTGATTATAATAATTTAAAATTTGTATGAATAATACGTATGTATGTTTTTAGTTTTTTTTAGTTTTTAGTTTCCTTTTAACATTGTATATATATTTTTTGTTATACCCAATATTATTATTTTTGATTTATATACACATAAAAACAGATACAAGGAGACAAAGAAGATCCCAGGTGTTTACATCTGACCATCCACAAGCCGCGCGTGGGCGCGAGCGGCGCATTACCCAGGACTGTACTTTTACGGGCCAAGTTCAAGTTTGACGACCATATACGTAGTATGGCGGCTAAGCAGAGACTCACTAAGGTAAGACTTACTGATAATCTCACACTAAATCATATAGACGGAACCCGTCAAAATAAATGTTGAAGTCGAAAATAGTAGTATGATTTGTTGTTTATGCTACTATTCTCGATTTTGACATACATATTGTTTTTTTGTTTAAAGATTAAGGAAACTTTTACATAGGTCATTAGTCGTTAATTTACAATTTTTCAGAAGAAAATATTAATAATATTCAATAATAAAAGTAATTATTATTTTGATTTTTTTAAGCATTAGTGCTCTTCTTGATAGAGTAAATAAGTAGCAAGTTTTCGTTAGACATTTGAAGTCCGCCAACGCACTTGGCCAGTGTGGTGGACTATGGTCTGATCCCCCTCGTATTGAAGCGAGGCCCGTGCCCAGCAGTGGGACGTTAAATAGGGCTGAATACATACATTACACGTATTTATTATAATATTTCCACAGGGACGTACAAAGTCTCGTCAAAAGAAGATGCAGCAAATCGGTCGGTTGCTAGAAGTGTGCGGAGTGGCGGCGCCCGCGCCCGTCCCGCGCCATCGCCCTCTGTTCGCGCGCCCCGCCCTGTCTACTGCCAGGCGACACTCAGGTATTATATATCTTATTTTTATTTTATCTCATCTCACATCACATCAACTCATCTCACCTTTTGGGAAATGCATTTACGGTTATGTGGGACTCACCGGCAAAGCCAGTAGGTACTACCCACTAAAACCCAACAAAACCTTCCCCCGTCTTAATGGAGCATCGTAGGATCGCTTACGCACTTAACGGCAGGTCTGCCGAAGCAGATCACAATAACCATGGGGTCGCGTCACAGTCCACTCTGCTATCAGAGAAGTACCAGGGGCAACCCGCATGGTACACCACCCACCGAAGCGGGCCTCCTTCCTGTGTGTTTCTTAGCTTAGAGCCCGGCCGGATTGCCGAGACTACTGAGCCCTCACATTGCACGTTGCACGTTTGCACGTTGGGGGGTATCTCATCTCACCTTAGTTCATCTCATCTCATTCTCATTCAGTACTTTTAAACCACTGCTGATTACGGACCTCCCTCGAATTGAGTCGCGGGTCAGGCCATATTCCACCACGCTAGCCAAGTGCAGATTGGCGGACTTCACATATTCGCGTAAATCTAAGAAAGTATTAAGACTTCACATGTCTTTCAAAACTAGTTAGATTCTCTCAGACATGCAGGTTTCCTCGCGAATGTCGACTAGTTACTGTTTTGATTGGGTTTCATCTCTTAAGGGGAACCTATGGTCTCCTTGTTTATTTGCACACATACGCACTGCACAATACTGTGTGTGGCGTTTTAAGAAATAATATTACTCTGTTAATGATTTAAAAAAAAAGTAAGCTAGAAGAGGCTTATGTATTTTGACGAATGATTAGATCTTAAGTGTATCTCATTACAGAAAACCCTCTATGTAAGGCCTATGCCATTTTTTTTAATGTGCCGTCTGCTGCGCGTTTAATGCGAAATTTCACGCGCTTATATCTACGTTATGCATTTGAATATAAAAGCGAGTGATCTGCTTTTTTTATTTCTTTTTTTTTTACTTTTTTAAGTTTACCAACGCAGAATGTGTGTTAAGATTTCGTAAGCACGTTCATGATATACGCGTCCAAGGGTTTATGCATACTTTTACGATATGTGATGTGCATAGACTCTTAGAGGTGAAGGCTGTTAGATATATTGATAAGCCTCACACGTAAAAATTGTCCGCGTGTGAGTTGTAGGGTTTAATATATTTGATATTTTAATAAAATTATATTTTCGCATTTTTTCGAATGCTTTACAGCAATCATGGTCTTCCCGTGACCGTAAATACCGTGACGATTGCTGTAAATCATTTGAAACGTTGGGAATCGAAAATCAAAATAAATTCGCCAAAAAATACGAAGAGATAGTTTAATTTAAAAAGTGTTACAGATTTTTCAAGACCGGCTCTTGTTTGCTTAAAACAATATGATTAGGTATAGATGGTGACGACACAGAGCGCCGCATCCGCCGCCCGAGCGGGCACGTGTTGAAGGACGGCATCGTAGTGTACCGCGAACGCACTACAAGCAGGGAGAGGTGACTTGCTACTAAATTATATAATTAATTTACGTTTGATTATAGTTTTACAACTATTTAATTATAGATTTTGCATGCATTTTTTGTTATGTTACAATGTAGCAACATTCAAATAAAATTTTTATAATAAATCTAGCGAGAGATCTTCTTTTTTGTTTTTTTTGTCATCTCATAATGTTATGGATTTTTTTTAAATGTTTGTAACAAAATTGCTACTAGTACTTTTCTCAGTACTCGTACTCTTTAATCTATGCGGTAACGATTTTTATTTCGGATTTATTAAACCATTTTTTTTCCTTCCAATATCTATTATATTAATCTACCCCATCGTCCCACGGGCAGTGTACATTTTTACGGAATAAAAGTAGCATGTGCTATTCCAGACTATAGTCTATCTCTGTGCCAAATTTCATCCAGATCTATACAGCCTGTCAGCCTATCATTTCTGGTGTGATTGGGTAAAAAACATACAATCATCAAAAATTTTACATTTATAATATTAGTAAGATTCCGCTGGAACCATTTAAATTTGCTATAATTAATTCAAAAGTATTGTATACAACTCATGAGCAGTTATTAATTATATTTTTAAACGTTTCTTTTTAGGTAATTTAATATGTTTAATTTCGTTCAGTAGTGTATCAAGAACTAGCAGCACTCACGCCTCAAGGGAAAGTTCTCCTCGTGCTCGATCTGAAGAAATACCCCTAGAAGATATAAGGAGAAACTCTGGTTTAGCTGCGGCCATACCTTCGACTAGCATACAGGTTAGTTTTGTGTCATAGCAATAATGCCTTTGGTGAACGTTGGTGTGGGCCATGCTTTATGTTTTTATTTGAATGCAATCGCATCCTATATTGTGTATATCTTAGAATTTGTATTAAATATTACGAAGTCACTATTCGTCCGATCTACGGGTGTATGGGAAGCTTTCTCGTAGCTGACTGACCGATTTTTAGTTCTAGCTTTAATATCCACGGGAGAATTTGCCGTACTGGATTTTTTCCACTTACTTACCTATGAATAAGTTCCCAATAGCAAATTAATGTGATGTTCGTTTTCAATTTGGCGTATTTTTTTGATTTTTGGGGGTGTCAATGTTTGATGTTTTATAAATTTTTCTTTAATTTGCGTTCGCTATTTCTGTATACCACCAAATTATGGAAGTCGGCCACAGGAACTGGTGACGACGAAAAGGTACGGGATTTTTTTCCATAGATCTGAAAGCTTGAACTATATTCAATCGATCCACGGGTCATCTACGGGAAAGCTTCCCATACAACCGTACATTGAGCAAATACTCGCATCCTAAATATTAATACACTATGTGTATATAGAAAGCAGTATGATTTAAAGTGAGGAAAATGTGCCTTTTTATACCTATTGATCGGTTTAAATAACCACACTAAAATATACCTACATCTTTTTTTAACAAAAATATATATTCAAATATTTCAAAAATATGTACCTATGCAATATTGAAGTGCATTATTTGTGAGTGTATCCTGTAGTTTGGAAAGGCTCATAATGCTAGTTTGTGTCAAAGATAACTCTCATTTTACAGTCACTAGAGGGCGGTACTGGAGAGTGAGGTAAAATATTTTAATAAAATAATTCATGCTTTCTCATTCACATTGTAATTTTTAATTATTAATATATTATGTTTATTTTATTATAAATATACACTTTCCGATACAAATTCTTTTCAAACTTTACATTCATATCTATCTCAATTGTCTTATAATATATTATAACCTACTATATTAATAAATAAAATTGAAGTGTTTAATTGTAATGTCAAAATAATAGTGTTTTATTAAATGTATATGAAATTATATATGGTACTTATAAGAAAAACTCATTTTTTAATTTTTTGTCTGTTTGTTCCGAATAATCTCTGAAACAACTGGACTGATTTTGACGGACTATCACTGGAAGATAGCTGATGTAATAGGGAGTAACATAGGCTACTTTTATTTTAGAAAAATAATTAGGGTTCCGTTCAAAAAAATTAAAACGTACCTAGAGACTCACCCGAGCAAAGCAGAGTGCGTCGCTAGTTGATAATAAAAACAATAGCTTATCATAGTATTTAACTAAAAAAATGTGTTTTTTTGGCACCTCTCTTATGTTCACCTTCTTTTTACTTTCAAATTCTAAAATAAATACAACTACAACAGAATATCGGAAAGTGTATTAAGCTTTGTACGTCATTTCATCCCATAGTTTAACATTTCATTATAATCATAACAAAATAAAACCTATGATAAAAATATTACCTCACTACTCAGTTTCTCCGTCGAGTGGTTCATGTCATTTAGTTTAAATAATTAATAATAACTAACAAATAATTTTCATTGCTAGAAAATTTCATAGTATCATGTTAATTGTGGCTTAAATACTATTAAACATTTTTTTAAATTAAAATTTTTCAATTAGACAAAACACAATTTAGTGTTTAACGCTTATTATATTAGTATGTTTTTTCTTTGTAATGCTTTATTTTGTCATAGCATAATGTATTTTTGACAAATTGCACTTTTTTAAGTTAAAAATTAATGAGAAATATAACTATTTCTCTACATACGACTCTCTGTCAAAGATATAATATTAAAAAGTAATTACCATTCAAATCCTAAAATATTAAATACATATTTTTTTAAGAATAAATTACAGCAAAATCTAACTATATTACAGAGCCCACCGAGTACGTCTCAACGTCCCAAGTTAACTAACACGTCGTCAGAAGAAACATCATTTATTTCCAGTGAGCCGCGAAAACGGAAAGGCATCGTTGAAACCATATGATATTAACTGAAATAACCTGTTGAAAATATATCTTCTTCGGGAAAAAATGGAGAATATCCTATAAAATGGAGAACATTCTAGAAAAATGGAGAATTACCAATAATTCTTCTTCAGAAGATATGCAGGTACATTTCTCAATTTCCTTCCAAATGTGATGAATTATTGTTATTACCAATGTTTTATTTTTTATGGTCATATGAACTTGAACTGTGTTAGAATCCAAGATTCGAAACCACGTTTTTGAGCTAATTATTGAGGGATTTTTGGTGTTATTATGGTGATAATGTATGTATGTATATTTTGTATTTGAAGAATTTAACATTGATCGTTGATCTCCTAAATTGTACATAAATTTTTTTTTTGGATTTTGTGCTTTTATAGTAATTTTTGTTGTATTGTCAAAATGACGATTTTGCAAATTACTTATTTTTTATAATAATTATATCTTCTCATCTGCAGCGCATATTAAAATTTAAAATTGATTTTAGCATTTTTTTAAATATGTTCCCTTTAAAACAAATATTTGTATGGTTTAGTAAAATTTTATGTTATTTAAGCGGAAAGAATATATAGTTCATATTTAAGTAGCGTCCTTTATAAAGTATTGAATTTATGTATGTATCGTCTATGTTTATATATTAAGTACAAATGTTGCGAGAGTGAAATTAAAATAAAAGTTTATATTTTGTTTTATTGAAAATCCACTTATTGAGTGGTAGCATGACTTCTGCTGAAGTAATATCAAATTCGATTCTCGTATGAGGCATATTTCAGTCGTTAGAGATTAGTTAAAATATAAATTTTAACTAAAGCAAGCAAGAAGTGAAAAATATCCCACTTTTTGTCTTAGAAAAATATCTTATTATTATTATATCTTATTTTTTTTATTTTTATAAAAATATTCAATTTTTTTAATTTTATAAAAAAAAATAATCATCATCATCATTTAAATACAATTAATTAAGATATTCTCGCAACATCTTATATTATTATAACTATCTGTATTTATATATATTTTTATACTCGTATATGCTTTAAGTATTAAATGGTGCGCAAAAGTGTAAGGGGATTGGAAGGTTTCGTTAAAATTATTTTAGGGATTAGTGTATTAAGGTTTTCAGAATTTACAGTTATTTTTCTGCATTTCAACTTCAAATTTGTTCAGACTTAAAATTATCAAGATTTTAAGTTCTTATAAGATCCTATATTAAAAAAATAAAGATACATAAAGATGAACATAGATCCTCCTCCTTTTAGAAAGTCGGTTAAAAAGAAGGATTTAGTTGCAGAAATTATTAAAAACAAAATGTTAAGCTATAAATGTGGTAAATGTGTGTACATATAAATTGTCCATTTAAAAAAAAATGTAATTGTAATGTAAATTATAAACATAAAATATTTATTTATAAGAATTATTTTTTTGGTACGAGAATTTGTTTTACTTGTAAAATTTCATTTTTTTTTTGTCTATTTCGTACTTGAAAATTTTTCGTTTTACGTACATTTATTATTATTATTTAAAAGACGTGGTCAAAAAAATATTCTGTCACTCCATACATTTCCCGCATGTTTTGAGGTTTGAGATAGTGTGATATGGACAGGTTCTCCAAAAGAAATATAAATAAAGAACTAACATGGTAATTTTAATGTAAAAGTTTGAATAGCAAAATGTATAAAATGAATCGAAGTTGGGTACGAATAATATGTATATATGTATGTATGTGCAAATTATAGGAGATTCGAAGAATTTCAATTAGAAAATTTTATTCAATTTTTCAGTCATTTTATAAAATTACTGCTTTAGTTAGAAAATATTTATGTTTGACTAACCTATGTGCAATATATTTTTGCTAACAATATAACTGATTTTTAAATATTATATTAGTTTTTTATTATTTTTATTTTAGAAATTCGGTTGTTTGATTTTGTTATTGTAGTTGCTTATGATTATGCCGATTTCATTTGCCTGTCTAATAAGGTTTATAAATTATACATAAAAAAATCGGACAAGTGCGAGTCTGACTCGCACACCGAGGGTTCGTGAAACATTTAATTAGTTTAGTATTGCAAAAAAAAATTTTTTTTTCTGCAATGTAACTACTAATTTACGGTTTTCGGTTTTTTTTTACTTGTGCTATATAAGAGATTGCTTCTTGCCAAATACGATTTTAGGTCCACGGGAAGTACCCTATAGGTTTTAATACCCTTGCGAGTGACAAAATATGCGGCGTAAACGGTCGTATCTTTTGTTTGCGATAATTTAGAAGTTTGATTTTTTATATGTCAACCTCCATGAGAATAAGAGAAAAGGGGTTTAGACACACAGATATATCAACAGATAGACAGACAGACGGATAACGAAGTGATCCTATAAGGGTTCCTTTTTTCATTTAGAGGTACGGAGCCCTATAAACTAATAATAAAAAATTGTACGTTTTTTAAGGCACATTACAAAATAATTCCTATAAATGAATCTGACTTAAATAAATTTATATAATAAATTAACTCTTATTACCAGTAGGTACTACTATTATTGTTTAAATAGGGCCATGTTTTTAAAAAAAATGACCCATTAAAATATAAGTGACGAGTAAATTTCGGCGCCTGAGTACTAACAAAGTGTGATTTAAGTCTACCATTAGTTAGAATCTGTAAATATTTATATGTAAAATATTGCATTGATATAACATGAAATAAAAACGGACGAGTTATGGAGTGGATGTACAATTCATTTTTATTAGTAACTACCGAGTCACCCTCGCTTCGCTCTGGTATATCCCTAGGTCGATTCCCCATACAAACTTTCATCCCCATTTTCACCCCCGTAAGGGATGATTTCCGAGATAAAAACTATCATATGTCCTTCCCAGAGTCTGAAATTATCTTCTTACCAAATTTCTTCTAAATCGGTACAGTAGTTTCGGAGCCTATTCTGTATAAACAAACAAACAAAAGATCAAATCTTATCTCTTTATAATATTAGTATAGATTCATATCAAACATTTTGCTGTATATGTATAATTTTAGATCATTGACTTTGTTCACATTTTTATAACTCTTGACGTTTCTAAATAGTACAGTAACACGCAGTAATTTTTCAAGAGTTCAAATATATGAATTAAGAAAACTGGAAAATCAAATGAAACGCTCAAAATTTGAGTTTAGTTTCTGTAAGAAAATTCAATTTTTGAGTGGCCAACATTTTAATGTAATAAATAAATATATATATAAATAGTAATTAGTTTGTCAGAATACGTACTTATTTTGAAATACATACATATTTGATTGAAAATCTTTATTCTATTTATCAAACTATAGTATGTTGTAACTCTATCTTTATACTTAAACCTTCCGGGTTGAACGTCCTAATTGCCAAAATCATATCAAAATCCGTTCAGTAAATCGTTAAGTTTCCTAAATATAATCTACATATGTATGTAATATGTCTTATTTGAAGATTACATATACTATAAAAAAAAGTATAATTCTTAATACCCACGTTATCTTTTCAATTTAGGCCGCGTACAGACTATAACTGTTTCGTAGGAAGATAGTAAATTAAAGCAAAATATGCGTGGACGTGGCCTTAAAATCTTTAACATCATTCATTCAATGTATATCATATAGATTAAGGAAATGGATACTCGTAATAGAAGTGCTTTGATGTTTTTGAAAGTGTAAAAATTGCAAAAACAATTAAGTGAAATGGCTCCGATCATGAATTTATGTTGTGATTTTTTTAAGATTTGCAATAAATGTAAACTGTAAATAGATTATGATTGTTCACATAGTATTTAAATATTTTAGCGTTGGAATTAAATATATAACGTGTTATAATATTATTGTTTTTTATTTTTGATACAAAACCTTGACATTTTTTTTAATGTAATTACTACAAGCGTCTTACGTTTTAAACAGATAAAAATAGTGTGCACCTTATGTGATACACACGTGCTATACCGGATTTTTCTGTAGGACTTTTTAAAACCCACAATTTTCTCGTATTAATGTTAAGTTTTAGCTAACAGTTAAGCGTACAAAAATAATTTCTTTTTTACAATACACCGTCATATACAGCCGTTTTGTACAAAATATGTACAAATTATATACACAAACTTCCTCATATATCGCTAATTCTATTAGCGAAAACTGTATTAAAATTCGTTACGTGGTTTAGAAAACGTAAGCGGAGAAATAGACAGAGGCACACAGCAACCTTGTTTTATACTATGCACAAAACAAAGTTAACTGCCTCGGTGGTGTAGTGGCTAGCATGTACGGCTGCACACCCGGAGGTCCTGGGTTCGAGTCCCGGGCCGGGCCAAGTTTAGTTATTGAGTCTTTATGTATAGTAAGCCTCAGTAACAGCCCGGAGTTGTTTCACCCCCGTGCCTCGGAGAGCACGTAAAGCCGTCTGTCCTGCGCCATAACTCTCACCGGTCGTGTCGAACAGTCGTCCCACCGGAGTATGAGAGTGATAGGAATAAAAAGTGCACGTTGTGTCTGCGTGTACACTTGTGCACTATAATATCTCCTGCGCAGTTGGCTAGTCTCAATGTGATTGGCCGCCGTGGCCGGAATCTGTCAGGAGAACATCAACATCATCAAAACAAAGTTTCTGTCATCTCTGTCTTGTAGATGTAGAGCGACTTGCGCTCCAACTCCTTTTTTTTTTTTAACGTTGGGAAATGCATTTACGCACGACGTGTGGGACTCACCGGCGTAATACAGCCAGTACTACCCACTAAAACCCAACAAAACCTTCCCCCGTCTTAATTGGGCGTCGCAGGATCGCTTACGCATTCAACTACGACGCCCCGACGGCAGGTCTGCCGAAGCAGACCACAACAACAATGGGGTTGCTTCACAGTCCACTCTGCTATCAGAGAAGTACCAGGAGCAACTCGCATGGTACACCGCCCCCCGAAGAGGGCCACCTCCCACCGCCCACCGAAGTGGGCAACCTCCCTGTGCGTTTCTTAGCTTCGCGCCCGGTT